CATGGGTGCTTTCCTTACTGCTACCAGGCGAACTCATTCCCTTCGACAACACCTTCGATTTGTTGTGAGGTTTTGACGAACTGGATAGTTTTTTCTCGTGAGCAACAAGAAATTGCTCAGCTGTTTTAGTCAGTTCCTCCAAATTCTCAAGGTTCCTCTCTCTTAAATAAATTGCTAGATCTTCTGGACAGGAATGTATAAACTGCTCTTTGATGAACAAATCACGAATTCCTTCGTAGGTCTTCTCAGTTTTAGACAACTCAACCCACCTGGTGAGATATCTATTTAATCTCGTCACAAACTGTTCTGGGCTTTCCCCATCCTCTGGCTTTCCCTCCCTGAATCTCATCCTAAAACCGCTTTCAGTAAGTTCATACCTTTTCAAAAGGGCTTCTTTCAGCTGCTTGTAATCAACTGCGGCTGTCTCTGATAGTCTGGAATAAACATCTAAAGCTCTACCAGTAAGCAATGCACTAAGCGAAGTCGACCATGTTGATTGGTCCCAATTATTGTTCTTAGCGAACCGTTCGAATCTTTGCAGATAACTGTCCAAGTCATCTTTACCATCGACAAACGTTGGTAGTTTAGGTAACTTAGCAGCCGATTTAATACTAGCACTATTTACCTCGACATTCGCTCCAGTTCTTTCATTGCTAGTTCGTGTCTCCTCTGAGCTTCTTTTTCTCTTTCTCCCATTTCTCGTTCCTTTTCCTTTTCGTCCAGTTCTCGTAGCCGTATACGTTCTCTTTCCTCAGCCTCTAACTTTTTGCTCTCACGTTCTCGCTGTCTCTCCTCTCTCTCTTCATCGACTCGCCGTTTGTCTTCGTCTTGTTGTTCTTTCACAAAAGCCAATAGCTCTTTGCCTTCAAAGCCAAACTCTTTGCCCAGTGCAATAAGCTTTTCCATGCTCAATTTTAAATGTCAAAATACACAGTCTTTTCAACACACACAGATCAAGTTGTCCTCTGGCCAATAATTGTCAGCGATACTACAATATCCACAATAAAGCCACGTACAATATGATTAAATACCTTCCAAACCAACAAACAATGTTGCCCTGTGGCAAATATTTATCCACAATTCTATGTTATTATCCAAGATAAAGCAAAAATACGACCAAATACCTTCCAAACCAACGATCAATGTTGCCCACTGGCAAATATTTGTCCACGATTCTATGTTATTATCCACGATAAATCCAAAATCTCTTTAAAACCAACGATTAAGGTTGCCCTCTGGCAAATTATACTTGTCCACAATAAGAAAATGTTTACAAGGAACAAATCATATTTCCCAATTACTCTCCGGCGTATAAATTGTCCACGAATACGGGTCGACAGTTTACTTTCGTTTTGAAATAAACAATACAATTTCCACCCAAAAACTTTCGCCAATTGACCGGTTTCCCGCCTGAGCCCCCCAGATGTCACGGAATTCTTGAGAAACCGGTCTTGGTCACATTACAGGACTACTACTCTACGACGTACTTTTATAAATTTTAATAAATAACGGAAAAATATAAACTTTTATGTTAAGTCAGCCATCTTGGTTCTTCCCCAATCAAAGTGTCTTCCCCCCTGCAGAGCTACACAGCTCCCCCTAGCGTTAGTTTTTTCAATTGAGACTAAAGATTTGTGACAGTGTTTCATGTTGTATGAACAATATGTCGAACAGCTTTTCTTACGAGATTTGTAAACCACTCTTTGTGACAGAGCTGATTCAAACACAAAATTTTAATAAATCGTCCATTGTTGTACCACAAACTATCAGTGATCTACCCATTGTGGTGGAGCCCATTGAGGCACAAAATACATTGGATTGCCTTGTCTCTCCTTACTAAACAGGCAGATGAAATTGCGAAGTACCCAGGTCAATTGCACAATATGCACTAATACCATAACGACATAACCCTTGCTGATGACATATAGGTGCAATGCGAGTTATGCAACCAAAGAGCGTTGACAGATTGCCCTTGCTAATCACGCTCAAAATCATCTTCACATGGAAAATTGCAGGTAGAATTGAGGATAAAACACCCCGCATGTTTTATGTTCATAAATCAAGGTGAAATGGGGTTATGTCAATATAGTAGAAATTCGCAAATATTTTAGAAACGCGTTCGATTTTCAACGCCCCAATGTACGGATTTGCGCATCAGAATAATCATTTTCTGCAGCGTGGGAAGCTACCGCAATCCGAAAGGATTATATAGTTTGAGGTATCCACAGGGGCGGACATATCGATTTTGACTGGGAGGGTGTAATCACGAAATGAGACCGATCCACCACTGAAATGTGAATCCAGACCGACTCTTGGTGAGTTGGTGTGTTGCGATAAAATCGAGTACAAAGCATGGAAATTGATGGCATTTATTAGGAATTTTGCAAGAACACGTGCAATATGCTGTGAAACGTTATGTGTCTGCGCTTTAGTCAGGTTTGACCACGGATTAGCGATTTCGTCTAGATCGATCATGTGACTGTGTCTGTTAGATCGCGCTCACACGCAAGAGTTCACCTAGGTGTTCCTGGTTCATTACTGAACGCATAACAGTTTTCACTGATTTCAAATTTGAAAAGCTGCGCTCGGCTGATGTATCGGATATTACAGGAACTGTCAGGCGCGTAACTATAGGATTTTTGATTGACCGAGACACTTTTGAGGGGTCTGGGGGCATGCTCCCCAGAAAATTTTTGATTTTCCAAGGCTTAGAAACGCTATTTCCTATATTCTGGGAGCAGTTTAAACGACAAAATCAATTTCATAAACAGTGACACAATGACTATAATTTTATACTGTAGTTTGCCCCCAATCCTGAGGCTAAGAATTACAAATATTTTTGGTCGAACATCATTGATCAGGTGCATAATAAAAAAGTATTTGTGCTCAATTGTTGTAATATTTGGGCGCTGGCCCGCACTTTTGTTATTGGGGTACTTGTGCACCCACACAGCCTCCCATTTCTTACGTCACTGTAGAGCAAGAATAATGCCTTACATGGAGAGAACTACAGTCTGTCATTGAACTTGAACTCGATTGACTCATATACCTAGTTATGGGCCTGACTGTAAGTAACAATTGGAAACATCGCCTAGTAAGTGGAAACAATTTTTCGCTCCATGATTTCAGTTAAACCAGTGCGTCGTTCACTGATCGAATTTCTCAGTTGATTGCAGTAGATCAAGTAGACACATAAAACTCTTTGGTAACAAAATGCATATGCATATCGTGTTACATGTGAACGTAATTGCGGTGCCCGTGCCATTTTTGGCACCGCATTATATTCTGCCTGTGAGTTTGTCCGTTTGTTTGTTAGTTTGTTCGCATCAATACGTTTCCTTAATCGCGTACCAAAAATTCCTTGCACGTGCTCGGAATTTATTAATTATTATTAATCGTGTACTCTCATGATGATTGACTGTTTGCTCAGTTTTATCTCTGGTTTTATGCGTCAAACAAGGACAAAAATACCACTGTTCGAATCAGCGTGAAAGATTGTGTTTACGGATGGAAAATTGATTTCAAAATTGACTTCTATTCTAGCTATTTGTCCCCTTTGAAAGACAAAAGCCGCTCAAAATAATCCTTCACGTTTTCCGAATTCCTTTTTTCGAGGAAAGTTTTCTTTCGAATTACAACTCGAACTCTCACGATTGACTTTTTGCTGCGTCTTATCTCTGGTTTTATGCGCCCAATAAGGACAAAAATACCACCGTTCGATTCAATGTAAGAAATCATACTCACAGATGTCAAATGTATTACTAAACTACAGTATTCTAGCGATTTATGGCCTTTGAAAGACAAGCGAAATTGTATTGTTCACAAATCGCTCAAAATTATTAAACTAATTAAAAATGCAATACATTCGACCTTGATAACTTTCATATTGTTGGTTTTCTCTTTTTCGGCCGTATACCAGTGGGTTCGTCTCACTTTTCTCTTTATTTCGTTAGTAGTTCGAGCGTAAAATATTATATTTTGAAGCTTTTAATGTGCAGTTTTAATAAGCGAAATTGTATTGTTTACAAATCGCTCAAAATTACTAAACTAATTAAAAATGCAGTCCGTTTGATCCTTGATAACTTCGGAATTGTTGGGTTTTCTCGTTTTCGGCCGTATGGCAGTGGATTCGTCTCACTTTTCTCTTCATTTTGATAGTATTTTCAGCCCAAAATATTATATTTTCAAGGCTTTAAAACGCAGTTTCGACCCTAACGTACGGACCAACTGGCGGCCGACTGGAGAATGTAGCGTGCTAAATATTAAACTAGGGTACCTGCAAAGGTAGGGATTGCTGCGGGCATTAAAAGCAAATAGAACCACAGTAAAGAGCACAAATTATATCAAGCACAGTGATTACTCGCAGCGACTAGTGAGCTGTGAATGGAACTGAAAAGAAGGACAAGAAGCAATATATATTGAAGTAGCAAAGATTGAAGTAGCAAAAACCAGGGTTAAAGGCCAATCAGAGGTGACAGATATTAAACATGTGCGTCTCATTGACATACAGGTAAATTAACATCAGATTTCATATCAAGTCTGTCAAGTCATATCTGCTAGGTGCATTTACCACATTATATAGACTATATACACAGATTTATCACACTAAGAAACCAAAACTTTATAAAAAATATAGAAATGACAGTGGCCAAAGTCCAAAACAAATGTAAGCGTAACGTTAGACGTCACATGAAAAAGCTTTAGAAATTCGATAAAAATTCGATGGTGGGTCCTCGCGCGCTCACTTTTCCCTCACTAGAAACAACTGTATATATGTAACCAACAGGGGGAATCTAGGGGCCCCATCTAGCGTATTATTTTATATAAATTTACTTGTAGGCGAAACGCCAGAAATTTTTTTTGCAGGGCACCGCATTTTAGTACTGTGTCTGGTTCCTAATATAACTCGGCTAGAAATTCGTTTTTGCACTTAGTAGTAATATAGGTACCGTTCGACCCCCATTTTTGAGGAGGAGTGAGGAGGAGTGAGGAGGAGTGAGGAGGAGTGTGGTGGAGTGAGGGTGCGTAATGACGTCACTTATTAACATACGTCATAATTATATGCAATGACGTCACGCGGGCAGGTTTAAACACGATCGGGCGAAACTTGCTGACTACGCATTTTTTAGCGTCGCCCACGTTTATGATACAATGGAGGGATTAATGTTGGCTTACTATGATTGGTTGTTTGATTTAACGAGCGTCTGTATAAAATCGACAAGCGTCTTGTAATAGGCATAGTTCTGCATTTGACAACGCTCTTACTGGACATCTTTTGGTGAAACTTAAAGTACTTGGAAGAGAATGGCACAGCAACATCGAGAGAATATTTGGTAATTAATACTCGTACTAGAAGTTACTAACGCAAGGAAATGCTGCCTCACGGCCAAAACTTTGAGTTAGGTTGTTCAAAATCTGTTTATAATCCGTGGATAATACAAAGCTAAATAACACTAGAATGGAAACATAACACTACAATTATAGTTTTTAAACAATAAAAATCGTATTTTATTGTACTGTAAGAATCGCGTGCATATATGTTACAACAATATTCTAATTATCTAAAATTAAGAAAACAGTTCTCTGTAATGAAACAGGTCATTTTCTGAGCACTCCAAACGATAGTAGCTCATAAAAATGAACAAATTATGGGTCATTCCACGGCTTATTTCTCCGACAATATATCTATAATGTGACCCGCAGGGCTACCTCCACACATTTAGCTATTATGCGATTGTCACTAAGGTTAATGTCACTAATATTCTTAGACACAAAGTCAAGCGTGGTCACCTCTAGAGTAATAACCTGGAATGACTAACAGTTAATAACACTATTAATAATGGATAAATATAATGCACAAAACCCAAGGACTGTTTATTCTATTAACAATGGAAATATAACATTATTATGTATACCATAACATTACTATTATACGTCTATACCATAACACTATTAATAATGGAAGCGCATAACACTATTATATATCCTGTCTGTCTGTATAATGTTTTTTTTACAAAAAAACTGTTAAAAGCTACATATCTTGTAAGCAGGTGAACTTATTAATGATCTTATGACACTATACAAGGCTATACAACACTATCCAATGTTATAAAAGACTATACAACACTACTGTATATAAGGCTATACAAGACTATACGACACTATACAGGAGTATACAACACTTACGACACTACACAATAATATACAAGGCTATACGACACTATACAACACTATATAACGTTATACAAGACTATATAACAACATATAAAGGCTATACGACACAATATGACACTATACAACGTTATACAAAACTATACAACAATATAAAAGGTTATACGACACTATACAACACTATACATTGTTATACAAGACTATCAAAATTACGACACTATACAGATTGTACATGACAGACTATACAACACTACACAACGTTATACAAGACTATATAACAATATATTATATATAATTGATTATATATAATAACAATAGATTATATATAATTGATTACACTAGGGGCCTTAAACAAAAGCCTGATGGTTTCTAGTAGGCCTCTAGCCCTCATTTGTAACTAATATTAATTAATAATCAATGTTAAATTTGGGCGAAATAATTAAATAAATAAATATATAAAGCTATACAACACTATACAATGTTATACAAGACTATACAACACTATATAAGGCTATATGACACTAAACGACACTATGCAACATTATACAACAGTATACAAGACTAGATACGGCACCATACGACACCATACAACGTGATAGAAGACGATACAACAATACATAAGGATATACGACACTTTACGACACTATACAACGTTATACAAGACTATATGACACTATGCAAGACTATACAACGCTATACTACACTATAGACGACTATTTAACAAGACTATAGAGATTAAACAACACTATACAACGTTATACAAGACTATACGACACTATATGTCATTTCGATGTTTTCGTTCCTGGTTGAGTTAATAGTTATATACCCTATACAGATTACAGTTGATTCATTCGCTTCAATGGGTAAAATAATTCGACAAAAATACGTTGTCACTTGTAATCAAACTTTCATCTTACCTTCAATATTTTCGATAAACAGCCAGACGTAAAATAATATTTCGATAAACAGCCAGACATAAAATTTGCAGCAAGCTGGAATCAAAATTTACAACAGCACGAAGTGATGTTATTTACAAATAGTAATAGTCCATGGTGGTGTTCGTGAGTCTCAACCCGGGTATTCGGAAAGTCAAATCGCGATCTGGAGTATGTTATTTTTTAAAATTTCTGTGACGTCAAAATACGTCATAAATCTGATCATCCGTACATTCGTACATGCAAATAAAATCGAGTTGTCGCTCGGCTATACATAACTCGGCCAACCGGAAACGGACTGGTGCAAGTAAAACACATCGTCAAGAATAGGTGGCTGCCTACGGCAGCA